CTGTGACAATTGCAGTGGGTAGTTGTATATATGAATTGATTTGTCAGAAATTATTCTCTATTTCACAAAATTATTTGGAGTATGGCTAAACACATAAAACAAGAGTATGGGTATCTCAGGAAGCCACTGCTTCTGAGATGGATGCAGACCCACTAGATTTGCTTTCATGTTCAATTTTTTATTAGCAGTTCTCCAGTATGGTTTTATTTTAAAGCAAAATAACCATTTATTTACTCCCTTGGAATCTTCCTCTTGGTACAGAGACAGTCTACAATGCTATGGTATTACTAGAAAGATACAGTGCGAAAGCATCAAAATACAGAGCTCTGAAGAGGACTTAATTTATTATTTGGAAAAAAAACATTAACTGGAAATATGTATTAGGGACAGCCAAGAAATGCACTGAAGCACACTTAATGCAATGCAAAAGGTGGGTTTGTTTTATGTCATTTTTCAAGAAAGCAAAGCAGATAAACAGTGAAAGCATGAAAGTATATCATTAAGAGAAAAATAGTATTAAAAAAACAATTGGAGGATTTTTTGCTTGCTGAGTTGCTTAAGTTAAGTATATGCATTTACTCCCTATCATACAAGACACAGAAACATTCCTGATTTATTGCTTGCGCTGTTAAAATTGGCACAGATATCTCAGCTCAGAATGACATTAGTTTTAAAACACTGTGTCTTTGTAGTTACTGAAGCCTTGTGTGAAACGTGGCAGATCACACTCCTGCCACACATGAAGAGTAATCTCCCAGACCAAAAGACTGCATTGCTTCTGAGATCCAGACTTTCAAAAGTCCCCAGTACTTTGGGTGGCCAGTTTTCCAGGTGTCTGAGAGAGGATGAAGAGCTCATGCAGTTCATGATGACTGCCAAGAAGAAGAGGCTGTAAACAACCCATTGAGACTTCTGGCCTTAGACCCCTTCCTCACCCTACTAAGATGGGCTGTGAGAAGGTGGCTGCTTGAGCTTCATTAGCATCACAGGATCACAGGATGATTCACATTGGCAGGGGCCTCAGGAGTCTCTAGTCCAGCCTCCTGCTCAAAGCAGGGCGAGCAGTGAGGCTGGACCAGGTTGAAGGCGATCTTTTGGACAGCTCTAGTAAAGCAGTTCTCCATTATAGAATCATAGAATCGTTTAGGTTGGAAAAGACCTTTAAGATCATCCAGTCCAACCATTAACCTACACTACCAAGTCCACACTAAACCAGTCAAGGGTAGACTAGACTAAACCATGTCCCGAAGTGCCACATCTACCCGTTTTTTGAACACTTCCAGGGATGGTGGCTCCACCACCTCTCTAGGCAGCCTGTTCCAATTCTTGGCCACCCTTTCCATAAAGAAATTTTTCCTAATTTCCAACCTAAACCTCCCCTGGCACAGCTTGAGCCCATTTCCTCTCGTCCTATCACTAACTACATGGCAGAAGAGACCAACACCCACCTCACTACAACCTCCCTTCAGGTAGTTGTAGAGAGCGATAAGGTCTCCCCTCAGCCTCCTCTTCTCCAGGCTAAACAACCCCAGTTCCCTCAGCCGCTCCTCATAAGGCCTGTGCTCCAGACCCTTCACCAGCCTTGTTGCCCTTCTCTGGACACGCTCCAGCACCTCAATGTCCTTCTTGTATTGAGGGGCCCAAAACTGGACACAGTATTTGAGGTGCGGCCTCACCAGTGCTGAGTACAGTGGGACAATCACCTCCCTGCTCCTGCTGGCCACACATTATGTCAAAGTTGTTCATGAGGAGCTGTGAAGACCTGTAAGACCTAGTGATTGCATCACTTTTTCACTTATCTTTGAATTCACTCTTGCTGCTGCCAGACTTGCTATTACTTGATTTAGCTTCACTATTCAAAAGCTGTGCTTCCACCATGCAAATTTCTACTGCCTTTACTATGTGATAGTAACTACAGTCCTCAGAAAAAGAATCTGCAGGATCAGACCCAACATTAAAACTACATATTTTCCTGAAAAGCCTTTGTTCAGTAGAAATTGTTTGAGGAAAAAGATCTGAAACTCTCATTCTTACATGCACTCTCTCACTTTTGTTCACACGAATGAACTTTTGCAGACAGAATCCTTGTATTTAGGAGATGCACGGGGGTAAAAGATGTAAGTATTCTTCTCATCTTAAATCTGTTATGGTAAGAGAGGATGTGTGCAGAAAGGGTGCACACAGCAGAGCTGTTGCCCTTGCTGCAAGCTGGGAAGCTCAAATCTTATCATCCTTTGGAAGAACCTACCCACAGCAGGCTGCAGGACAGCTGTCCAAGGTGAGATCAAATTCCAATTTTAAAAGATTACAGATAGTCTTTTTCAATAACAATCCTAAAGAAAAGCAATTTTAACTTTCTTTTCAGATTTTTTTATTTGTTTTTATCCTAGCCAGTTTGGACTCAAAATCGGTTGTCCTGACATAGTTATTTCTTACAGCAAAACCTAATGTTATGTTCTGTATTTCACAGCTCTAGTTCTTCAGAGCATGGCTAACCCCACCACTTGGAGGATCTGCTGTCTTTCTGTAAAATCATGCTATGTGTCTGAATGAGCGAGCAAACTCCAAAAGTCTGCTTTACAGGCTGGAAGCCTTCATTTGGACCTAATGTCTCAGCTCAAAGAGACTTTTAGACATATTAATCACAATCTTAGTGTGAGATTGGTATTTAACAGCCTTGCTAAATTAGGGAAAGTTCTATTGTCTTCAGTAGTGTTGAGATGTCACCCTGAGAATAAACCTGTATGTAGGATACTGTAAATCATCTTGCATATGGTGTCAGTCCCCCCATCATCCTGCGAAGTGGGTGCTTACAACCGCTTCACTGGAGCTGACTGAATGCAGAGGGGCAGTCCAGTTGGACTGCAAATAATCCTGCAAAAGCAGGGGAAAAGGGGCTATCTGCCTTAAAAATCAGGAGCCTAATTGCCCTTTCTCTGACCTAAGGATGCCATCATCAGCTTAAGGTGAGGAAACAGAGCTTCAAAACACGAGGGCCAGTGGACAAAAAAAACCATTTTCTGCTGATATGCGTAATGTGGGATGAGTTGACCTTGAAGCTTTTAGAACACGCAAATCAAATAAAAGTGGATAACTCAGTCACTGAATTAGCAAAACAGCTGCACCGTTCTGGCAATGCGGTAGGTTACATCAATAAAGTACTTTCATCTCTACCTCACAGAAATCAGATAGCGATCCGTCGCATTATTACAATGTTAAAGCTATAAAAGTAAGAGTGGAACCAATATTATAACTCAGTAAAAAAGTCCACAAAGGCTATTTTCTGTAATGAGATATTATACATCTAGGCACAGTGGTCAAAGAAATGTAACAGATGTGGCTAAATAAAGCAAACCTTCACTACAAGGTGCCTGCGGTGGTATTCAAAATACGACTTCGGTGCCTGATGTGCAATTTAGGTGCATTGATCCACTAAAGTAACACAAAAATTCTGCCTACCCTCTTAGCTTCTATCTATGTGACAGACTGCACACATGTAAATTTTACCTACACAGATCCCCAGCAGCATGCAAACAAGATCTGAAGTACATCTGAAGATACAGCATGCCAAGTGAAGGTATATTACCTGGAAGTGAGACAGAGCTAGCTCAGTGTGATGACTTTTATGGCATTGTTGATTCATCCCATACTGGATCACAGCACAAGCTTACCTATGCCAGAGATCCACTGGTCCTCTATTCTCCAAACACAAGTATTCTGGCAAAAATTTTTATTTAGGTACCTGCAGTTCTCCTACCAAACCTATTTAGAGATGGTCCTGCTGTGCAGAGAGTATAGGACCACTTTTATTCATTCATTGCTTTTTATTCTACAGATTAGAGTACTGCTACAACTAATTCATGGATACCCAAATCGTCTATTAGGTTTGGCTCTTCAAGACTTTCTGAACTCAGGTCTGCATTGTAAATTTTTAGGTTGCCATCCATAATGATGCAAGCACTACAAAAACTCCTATGGAAGGAACGCCTTTCCTTTAATTAAAGGTGCTTCTTTAAATGCCATACATAGTCAAATCCCAAACTGCCAGTCAGAAGTAAGTGTGACCAGATTACATTTTTCATCTCAGTATGCCCATTAGAAAGTGATGCGATGGTAATCAGGTGGTAATGTGATACATTAGACTCGGTATCATGTCCAGAAGAGGCTCGCATGCAATCTAGCATGATGTTACGGTTGGTGGTAGTGTTGTTTAGAAAATCCCCAGGGAAAGTGTTGTTTTCACAAAGTGTACTGAGATTCTGCTGTGAAATAATTAGAAAAGCATGACTGACTTTACATTTCATTTCATATCCTCTCTTACTTATATATGGCTTTCTGAAGAAACTACAGTGGTATTATTTAGTATGTCTTTCTTGCTGAAATTAGCCAACTGCATCCTTGTTTTGAAAAGGTAATTTTTTTTCTCCCAGGAAAGTTATTTTTATGGAATTAGTTAGTTTATTGACAGTGTGTTTATTTCCAGTCATGACAGAGTTTCTCACAGCATACAATCAGTGTTAGCATTTGTCTTTATTTACCATTTTCCTATGTTGAATACCTTTAAAACCCATCTGATTAATTCTATGCAAATGTAGAATAAGGATGAGATTTACCATATTCAACACCTCCATCAATCACAAAGAATCACCTTGCTTGCATATTTATCCCATAAAATGTTTACATTACCCTAAATATTCCAAGTCACACTCCAGTTCAGGAATTCCCCTCCTTTACTTATTTTTATTTACATAACATAAAACTTAAATGGACCACGTAGGAATTAACATATGAAGTTATTGGCTTTTGAAAAACCCTGACCAGTGAAGGTCACTCATTGCCAGCAAACCAAGGCACTGAAATTGCATCTTGAAAACGCTGTGTTTACAAACGTATTTAATTCCAGTTAATTGCATCCTTATTCATTTTTCAAAACCAACATTAATGATCTGTAGTCTAACCTTAATATAATGCTTTTCGTTTGATTCGATTTATTGTTTTAGCTCCGGAAGTGTTCCAGGCCTTTATGGATGGAGGTCCAGGATACTCGTACCCTGTAGACTGGTGGTCGCTAGGAATTACAGCATACGAATTACTGAGGGGTTGGGTAAGAATGATGGGTTTTGTTGTTATTTAACATATTGACTGACAGAAGTCCCAAAGTTTGTAGTGCCCCTGAATGCACTCTTCATGATAAAATTTGAGTGGAGGGGGCTGCAGTTCA